ACTGCCTATACACTGTGGGCTAAAACTATGGTTTAGGGAATTGCATTTACATTGCCAACTAGTGTTTCTGGTGCCAAATTCCCACAATGCAAAGTACTCGTTCTAGGCTTTCAGCCAAGTACTGTCTAATAAAAACAGCTAAAACTTATTTGTACACTCGTCACTGTGTTTTTATGAATTGTTTTGTGAAAGTGCTGTGTCCAGGTTGGTTTGCTATAGGCATTAAAAAAGCCAAAAAATTGTGATTCCATCAGGATGTCCCAGAAGAGCACTGGCTCCGCTAGAACATTATAGCACCTGGTTGCAATCATGTTATATGCACTGTCTTGTCTGAGCCAACTTAATCTGATGTGTAAATATTCACTGGGTAAATGTTCAGTAATATTACGCTAAATAACCAGTTGTTAGAGCTGAGAGAAGTATTGAATAGTGTTATCTGTACCAGGTGCTCATAAAAGCCTAGAATAATAATTTATTAATAAAGGTAGGGTATAACATTTTTCACTTGCTTTCCTGTGTTATTTTCCATCGTGCACTCTTAAGAAGCTGTCAGCTGAACATGGGACTGGCTTCATTTCAGTGGGGAGTAGCAGGTTCTAAGTTTGTACACCTCAAACTTTTTAGTCCTGGTTAAGTTTGTTATATGGTTGTATATTTCCATCAGTCCATGCTATGAATAATAAAAACCAACATTCTGTTACTACATCCACACTCATCCTCTCCAATACCCCAAGAGATATTATAGAACTGCTCTTAGTGTCATTTTCTTTTTTGTTATTTTCCTCCATTTCATAGTTTCATAGTAGCTGGGGTCACAAGGGACCTGAACAGATCATCTAGCCTGACCCCCTGCCACAGGCAGGAATGAATGCTGGGTTCACAAGACCCCAGACAGGTGATCATCCAACCTCCTCTTGAATTTGCCCAAGGCAGGGGCAAGGACCACTTCCCTGGGAAGTTGGTTCCAGATTTTGGCCACCCTAACTGTAAAATATTGCCTTCTGATCTCTAACCTAAACCTATTCTCCATCAGCTTATTACCATTGTTCCTTGTCACCCCAGGTGGTGCTGAGGAGAAAAGGGCTCTGCCTATTTGCTGTTGATCTCCCCTGATGAGTTTGTAGGCAGCCACCAGGTCCCCCCTCAGCCTCCTCTTGCTGAGGCTGAACAGGTTCATAGTTCCCTTTCTCTTCTATTTTCCTATTCGTACCTCTCACGTAGTCACAACATTTTGTCTCGTTGCATATTCCAAGTGGTACATATGCCCCAGTTTGACAAACACTGGTATACCACCTTAAAATTTATTTTGGAAGTATTTTAGGATGACTTCTCTATAGAGTGTTATTTTACATTAACATTATTAGTAATCTTAATGTTATCAATGCTATTTATTTATCATTTACATCTTGAACAAGCAAGTATTCTACAGCCTCAAGAACTATAACTCCTTTCTCACTAGGCAAATTGAGTTGATTTTACCATAAAAGATACCAATCACACAGATGAGAGGACTCACGTTTATTAGTCTAGATTAGCCAAAACCTGCTGTAGCAGCGCACCTTCGGGTGCTTGCCACTTTAAGGGCTGAGTCAAGCAGCCAGCAGGTGCCTGATTGGGGCAGCCATTTTAGAACACAGGCTGCCTATATAGAGACAGCAGTTTTAGTGCTGGCAGCAAACAGAGGCATTGCCTGGCTGAACTGCTGTATGGAGCATCTAGCAGGTAAGAGCAAGCAGCTCTTGGTACTGGGCATGACCTAAAACTACATCCTGCGGTGAAGGGTGGCCTGGTGGGGCTCCTAGTGGCACAGAAACCCCCCCCAGAAATGCCATCTGAAAGGCAGGTAGGGGCGCCTTAACCCTGGTCCCCACCACCTGGTGGGTAATCATGAGAGCTGTGGGAGAAGTGGGACCAGGTATGCTCATGTGTAGGCACCTGAGCCCAGCAGGGATGTGAGATCCTGGAGACCCCAGAGTGGGTAGCATGGGGAGCGTAGTGTGAGGCTCTGCAGAAAGTAGGACTGAATCGGGAGTAGGCCTGAAGGGCTGTGCATGTGAGGGGGCTGAGTAGGGTTGAACAGGGAGTAGGCCTGAAGGACAGTCCCAGGGGCATGCTGAGTAGGGCCGAACTGGAGTAAGCTTGAAGGCCAGTGCAAGGGCCAGCCCCGTGAGAAGCTAGTGGCAGGTATGAGAAGGAGACCCCAGGGTGGGGTGTGGTGTAGAGTTGCCCGGTGAGGAGCTTGGGGTAGAATCAGCCCAGGGTTTGGCACAAGGCTGGGCCACATAGAGAAGGGGAACTCACAGGAACTGAAGGACTGTGTGGTGAGGCCAACATGCAAGTAGCAAAGCCTGATGGCCCAAGAGGAGCTGCTCAAGAGGAGCAAGAGCAGTAGAGTGTGGCCCAGTAATGGGCAGTATACTAGAGGCCCCTATGAGAGGGGGGCGGAGTGTAAGAGACTTCCTGTGAGAGGGGAGGAAGGGTGAATGTGAGGATGAATGGAGCCCAACTTTGGACTGGGTTTGCTCCAGTCTCAGACCGGGGAGTAATCCTAATCTGGATGCCATCTGTGAGGCATGGGCTGCAGTGTAGGAGAGGTTCAGACCCACAGATAGTTCCCCTTCCCATCGGGGCTGGGAATGGGCAGCCTCCCACATTATACCACCAGTTTATGGGAACAGCAAAGTCGTGGCAGGCAAGACTGGGTAGACTGCCCCATAGAGACAGGTGGGTGGGCCAGCAAGTTCCCAGCCCTGGGTGTGCCCCCTGTCACATCTGAATTTAAATCTCTGCCCTGCCACTGGATCCATTCTATCCTCAGGCAAGATATTAAGCTTCTGTGCCTCAGTTTCCTCATCTATACATCTGTATGATACTTTATTCACATGGGGTTCTAAGGAGTAATTAGTTGATGTCTGTGCAGTGCCTTGCGGTTAAAAACATTATGTAAATGTTTAATGTTGTTTTTATGTGTGTTGTGGATTATTGAGAGGTTAGTAAGGCTTATTTTTGCATTATGGCATATCATGTAGAGAAGTCTTTCTCTTGGGATCAACTAAAGATAGAAGACAATGAAAAGCAAATCAAGTGCCACATAAATGGTTAGTAGTTAACAAAGTGATAGTCTGCACTAGCAAGGGTAGAATGTTATGGTAGTTGTTTTTATAATTTGCCAATAACAGCGATAATTGAAAAGTTAGCACAATATGACTCAGATTCCTACAATAAAGTAATATTTAGGCTATAATTTTTAATTTGCTTAAATGCAAGCTGTTTAACCTGGTCTTTTTAAATGCAGATGATTAACATTAATGCTCACAAAAAAGGATGGATAGTGTTTGATAAAGCTAGGCATGGTGTAGGAAGCTGTGATGCAAACCGCTACACACTGTAGTTCTGTCAGTATACTTCATTCCTCCTCAGTATCCTTTCTATTCTAGTGCTGAACCTGCCATGAGTTGGTACTGCCAACATCATTTCAGATGTACTCCCTTGTAATCTGCTATTAAAATAGGGATGGGTGCTCCCTTAAGACTAAGTTAAATCTATTAAACTAATTGCATTAATGATGTAAACCAGACTTGAATTGAGGCTTCCAAAGTGAAGGGATATCAGATTGGGTAAATTCATCGCATCAGTGAGCTCTAAATTCTCTAATAAATAAGCTTAGCATTTAAGTGATGCCCTACAAATCTATAAAGGGAAAAACGGGGAACTAAATATTGTTACAGTGGAAGGAAAAACAAGTTATTATGGCCTAGGCCCAGTACAGGAATGCATTCTCAAACAATTAAGGACTAGCTATGTTCTGAAATGCCCAGGTTAATGGAAGAAGCATAGTTCTGAATTTGCCTATTTAATTTTTTTTAAAAAGCTAAATAACCTCTTATCCAAACTCTAAATAACCTAAATAAATTGTCCAAAAACCCAATACTTCAAGTTCTGCAATTCTGCAGACAGGAGAAAGAAAAAATAACCCAGAAGAATTAAGTTCAAGTTCCTGCTCTCTTAAAGGTTCCTTCTAGGCAAAATACTTTATTTGTGTTGCTTTTTCCCATCTTCCCTGCTTCATGGGTATGTTATGAGGCCAAAAGGGTGGTCAACCAACAGGCATTTCATGTAAATGGGTCCAAAGAGCCAAAAAAAATATCTAAGGCAAGGGCCCACTCAAGTTAGATAATTTATCATGCTACTGCTATTCTGGTCATTAATTCCTATAGAGAATGGCACCCAGAACAGTGATGTGGCTAGCATCACATCCAGCCACCAACTCCTCAGCCTGGGGTGATCAGGTAGGTACCCATTTATAGCTGAATCAACAGAAGGCAATGTTCAGCACAAATCCAGAGGACAGCTTGAACTCATACCTCTGGAACTGTACCAACATAACTTAACCACTCTGCCAGAACGCGGGTTTTAGAGGAGGGTAGAAAATTACTACAGGTATGTGAAATAGCTATAGTACAATAGATGTGGAAATATTTGAAGGTAGGGGGAGAGTGACCACAAGAGCGAAGGAAGCGATTTGGAAATACCATGTTTTAAATCCAAAACAGGTTCAATTTTGTTAAATTTTAACAGTGCAATGAAATAATTCTAGTGAACACCAGTCCACGTTTGAGCAAAATTGTTTTTATTACAGATACACATAGAACTTTATGATTTGGCATTTGGAGAGTCACCATTACCATTTGGAGAAATTTTATATAATCAAAATGATTTCAGAATAAAAATGCAGAAAAATTTGACTATACTTACTAAGAAAAATCTACTACAATTTGGCACACACCTAAAAGTCATTATTCACAAGTATCAAAGGTAATGCATCTTACTTGTACTGAACACCTCACAATTTGCATAAAGAAATTATTTTTATATTTTCTTCTAGACAGAAACTGTAATGTTCAAAGCAAAACCTCTTTCAGGTTGTAAAGAGAATGGAACGTTCTTATGCCTGGAAGCGGGCAGGAAGAAATCTTTAAAGTGAAGAAAAATAAACATACCAATGCATTTCTCTTGACCAGATTCTTCATCAGTGTCAAAATCTTCCAAAGCTGAGTAATTATCCACCTACAAAAAAAAAGTCCCAAAAGCTAAAAAACAAAACAAAACAAAAAACCCTTGGTAATGAAAATAAGCCTAATAATACCATGATTCCCACAGCAAACTGCAATAATGCAAATATTGTCATTTTTGTCTACTTCAGCATTGCCATTCTCCTCTGTAATTTTGCAGGAGTTTATGCAAAGTGGCTGCTGCTATTGAAAGTGTATTAAACAGAATTACTTGAAGGAAAGAAATATGTTTGGTATACTTCAAATACAGTTAAAGAAACACTGCCAAAACAGTTAAGGACCAGCTTTAAAAGAAAGTAGGGGGTGGAGAGAGAGCCATAAAACTTACATAAATTGCAGTAATGGAAGTCTTGCTATTCCAATCAGGATCATAATGGCTGTCAAATTTGGGGCCAGGAAGAAATTTTTCCCTAAGTCAGATTGGCCAGGATGTGGGAGTTTTTCTTTCCTCTTTCATGCGCATGTTTTTGGGGGATTTTCCTAGGATCTTCTGATTATACACTAACCAACTGTTATCACAGTATCAAGGCATTGGTAGTGTCCTCCTCTACTGTTCTTATACCCTTTTTATCAGGTGCTCTTAGTATTTCAGATATTGTGACTTGTAGTTGAATATGAGGATTTGCATTGGCAATTATGGGGATTCCTTGGGTCAACAATTAGCTGAAAACACAGGTGACTTGATGCAACAGCCTTGAAGGCCCCTTCCAATCCTGTTTTCAGGAACTTAAAAAAAAAAAAAAGAAAGTCATTTCTTTTTCTTCAAGGAAAAGATGAAATGTTCCTCTCCGGTTTTGGAAATCTGTTACAAGGGACCGAGAAAGCAAAATTTTCTTCAAACAAGAGAGAAGCTGACAGGTCTAATTTCATTTTCCACGTTGACTGAAGGGTGAAGTGTAGCAAACTAACACCTTAATGGAAATTTTTCCAAATTTAAATCATGGCTTTTTAGTATATATATTTTTATTGTGATAGTGTCCCTTTAAAAAGGCAATAAGGCAGTGGGACTCAACCTGTCTGGCCGATGGGCAGTGCCCAGGCTGTCCACGGTCAGCCCCAATATGGTCCCATGAGGGAAACGGGGAATGACCCGGCCTCATCCAGCCATGGTTGGGCACGGCCGAAATGATTCTGCCTCACCCAAAAAAGAGACTTTCCCCACTGACTCCATTCAGCCAATTGTCTTAGAAAAAAAATCAAGGAAAAAACGGTTATTTCAACATTCCTGCTTCCCACAGCCTGGAGATCAATGAATTTGAGCTCTATTGCAGTAAAATGTAGAGGAAACCCTGACAGCTTAGTCCACTGTAAATGCTCATCCCACAAGACAAACATATCTGAGACCTGCAGCATCCCAACTGATCAGAACTGTTGAGCACAAAAATGGAGACACACACCAACTATAAAGGGCTCTATGGATCAAAAGCAGTAGCTTCAAACGAACTGGATGCTAGTGAAGATACTGGAGCACAGCTGTGCTCCCTGTAAGTAACACTGCTGTGTAGCAGAGTTGCTACATATGGTGCAAGCCAAAGCATACTGCACAAAACCACAGAAATTAGGCCTGCTGATCACAGACCATCTCTTCCAGTTCAACCCCACACCCAATAACCTGACTTTTGCAATTTATGATGAAAGCATCATACTAAAGATGTGTCATACTGAAGATGACCTGTTAACATTTGATGTGTCATACTGAACCAAGACCTGTTAACATTTGAGAACAAGATAATTTTGGAAGCAAATAAATTGTAAAATGCATGGGACGAAGAGTAAGTGTGTACGATTGCTAATCCCCAATTTGAAGAAAAGCAAAAACACAAACACATACAACCCCCACCAACCACCCTCCTCTTCTTCCACCCACAGAAATGTACCTTCACTCTTCTGGCCAAACTGAGATCACAATTCTTAGAGAAGCCAACTTTCAAGCCTTCACTCATCACTACCTGTAAGTAGCAAGCAGAGTCATTTAGGTAACTATAACAAAAATACAAATCACACTCAAAGCTCCCACAAGTTTACACATAAGAACAGGCTAAAGTTCTGGTCTCTTTAAACGTGTATATAAAATAAGAAAATGAGCAGGTGAAATGATGTGTGAACAGTGGATGGGTAATCCTCTGAAAACCTAAACAGACCCAAAATGAATCCATCACAGAAACACGTAAGCATTCATAATTATCATAACAGTAGCATTTAGAACAAAAGCAACATTTCCAAAGGCAGTTTTTCTTTCCATTCTTTTCCCCAGCACAGGTGTAAAGATTACAGACACTAATTTATTATTACAAACTCTTCCTGCTATTACACCAGCAATTTTTCCAGTGCATCCAATTACTACTGTATTTGTTTCTTAAACTGCTAATGTGACAAAAATGTGCAATCATGCCTGAAACTTTGTTCCATAGCAACAAAGATAAATATTAGGATGTTCCATTAACTAAAGGATAATGGAAGCCTTATAGTGCTTTATGAGGCAGAAAGCCAGATCCCAAGTGGCTAAAATAAGAGACCAAAAGGCAGTTTATCCCAATGAGGGAATCATATTCTTGATGAGAAAACAGCAAAACACTTTTGTTGTCACTATTATTATACAAGAAACTGAAAAAATGTGATTGTTTTAAAACCCCTGCTTGAGTTTCAACCTCACAGGCATGTGCTAGTGGGGAGGAAAATGATCGTTTTTGCTTTTGATTGAACCCTAGCGGACACAGCTTTTCAAGTCAGTTAAGCGTGTTGCACTATAAATTGCACAAAATGACTTTTTTATACAGAGCTTAATAGAATAAATTCTTGATTACAGGGCCATTCACCCTTTAATCATTTCTTACCCATGAAGGGGTCTGGAGACTTTGTATATGTGGATTCTCATAGTTTTCCATTTCATAGCCTGTCTGATGTTACATCTCTTTCCCAAGACACACATGGGGCCTTCAAGCCCCAAACTTGAAAGTTTCAAGAGATTCCCTATAGCCCAGCAGCTCTCCACTGGTTACTGGCTCATTATGAAAATTTCCATACTGAAGAATTTATTGTACTGTAAATGCACCCAAACTAGCACAAGTAGCAGAAACAATCTAGCTGTAGCATCAGGCAGACTCTACCCCCAAGTCAGTACATACTCTCTTAAAGAGCAACTGGAGCCCTTTAGAACCATAACAGTCTTATGAATGAAGTCAGGGCTTTCTTTCTCTCTGCATATTTTTACCTATCTTTTTTTTAATGCTTGCCTCTATGGACCAAACTAGTCTTGTTACCTGATCTTCCTCCAAAGGCTGTGATGAGAGAGATACTGATGATTCTTTGCTTCTTGCAGGTAAGACGCTCTCTTTATTCCTGTTTGGTAACTCAAGAACGGAAAATGTTTTTTCTAAAGAATCCACTTCGGATTCTTGGGATTTCTTCTCTACTTCATCTGCAGGAAAAAGATCATGCATTACATCAGAGGGCATAAAGCACCCTCCAAAGGAAAAGAAGAGCCTAATTAGGACTCATACCAAGTTGCTGGCACAAATATTAAAATTACTGCTCTTTCAGTAGAATTTTCATTCGTGTCCTTAGCTTAAGACAGGGATGTCAAACTCAGCTGGCCCCAGAAGGCATGGGGCTGGTCCATGGGCCAGATGAATGGTATGGGGCCAATTCCATTGGCCAGACTGGACTACACCCCCCACCTCTGCTCACACACCAGATCCAGCACATGCAGCTTCCCTCCAGCTGGTCCAGGACCCACAGTACGCACAGTACCTGTCCCAGACTGGCCCGGGCAGGTGCCATGCACAGTGCAGGTCCCAAGCTGGCTGAAACAGATGCCATATACAGCATGAACCCTGAGCTCTAAGCACAAGGCCAGTCCAGTTCATGCTGCATGCAGTGTGTAAGTTAACTCTGGAACCTGGGGCAGCACTGGGCATGATGGGGCTCCATGGGCCACGTCAGGCCCATGGACCATATCTCAGACCCCCTTGGCTTAAGACCTGTATGCGTCATGTACTTGTACTGAGTGGCTCTTATTAGCATTTTGAGCATTAAAAACAGCCTTCCTCTTGGGTATTCAACATTCAGTGTTACCAGAATGCACAGAAAGATACTTAAAACTAACACAATGGTTAAAAAACAGAAAGACAAAGCTAAGTTTATAACAAAGGCTGTTGCTTTGCTCTACATTTTAATGCTTGTTTTCAGATGTTGGCCGCTATCTGTATGCTGTGCAAAATAGGATATAGGCATGCCTGGACCTGAAGGTGGTAATACATGTGCAGGCCGGGAGCGACCCGAGCCCTTTTCCGTGCTGCACACGGGCTGTGGCCAGCAGCCCGGGCACGCTGGATCGGAGAGGGAGGGCGACGAGCTGGAATTAGGCACAAACGCTTAGCGGTAGTTTTAAAGATTGTTTACTTACACCAAGATGGCAGTGGTGTAGGCTGGAGAACTTGCTTGAGTTGCGGTTACAGACACAGACAACACAGACCGTCTCGTGGAGGTTGCTAGGCTCCACGGAACAGAGCTCCGGATGCTCTGGGTAAACGAGCCACCAAAATCAGAATCGTAGGTACGTCTTATAAAAGTTG